TAACTTAGAAAATGAATCATACATGTCTTAATTAAATTACGTTAAAATAAACCATTTATTAAAAACAAAAATGTTTTGCACATCTATAAAATAATTTTTTTTTATGCGTGGAAGTATCACTTGAAATAATTACTTTAAATAATATCTAAATAGTGGAACCAATAATACACTATATTTTATATAAAGTAATTAAACTAATTAACATGGCGATATAGTTTTTATTTTATTTTATATTTTAAGATGCTTTTAATTTTCAATATATTAACTGTATTTATTTATTTTTGTGTCTCTCCCTAGTTAATTTGGATGAAAATAGGATAGAAAAAGTGTTTTAAGTATTGTATTACTAATATTGCTTAATAATTTAAAAATGACTTAAAATGATTAAATAAATAAATTTAAAGAAATTATTTGAAGTTTAAATAAATGAGGGGCAAAATAAAAGTGGGATTTGGATAGCCATTCATGGTTGGTTTGTTGGTTGGAATCCATCTAGGTGTAGGGCCCACTTAAATAAATAAAGTTCTAATGGTTTCCAAATTCGTAAGTAATTTTATTAATTCAGGTAAAGAATTAAATTTTAATTAATAAAATTTGTGTTTTTAACTCTAAATTTTATAAAAATGAGTAAAAGGGTTAGGTTAAACGTGGGCGGTGGATACCATAGAATACTCGAGAGATTAATGAAATGCTATAATTTAGTGGATATCAAGAGTCGTTAACACATGTTAACATGCAAACAAAATCCGTCTTAGGTTGTTAAATTGTGCAGGTTTTAGAAAAGAGTTCAAATAAAAATAATAAGTTTGTGGTATAAAATGACTAAAATGCCATTTGTGGTCGGTGTGAAAGTTTCTTTTGAATTATTTGTCTTTAGACATTATAGGATATTAAAGTTGCAATTGATCAAAGAGTAAATAACGTGATCATGTTGCAGGGAATGCAAGGGTCATCTTAATCCGGATTTGCAAGGAGTAGTCACAGGGAATGCGAGGGCCACCCTGATCAAAACATGCAAGAAGTAAACAATGTAATCATGTCGTAGAAAATGCGAGAGTCATCCCATCTAGATCGAAATCTTGGACATGGACGTAAGAACATAAATGATCCTGTGTTTTTCTTTTAAAGTACAAAAGTTAAAATAGATATTTTGAGTATAATAATAAAAAAAAAAAAAAGAAATATATGGGCCAATGCAAAGAGGAGTTAGCTAGTTCTTGTGGTGGTTGGAGAGTTTTCGTGTAGTTTATAATGGCGGTTGGTTGGGTTTGGGGGCAGAAAATATCCATCTTTTTTTAAACACTTAATTAATTTTATTTTCACAAAAAACCATTTAACACCCGAATTCAAGAGGCCTAAATAATATATGTAAGCCCCAAGCTACCCACCCAATTATTTCTATTTATAGATCAATATGCGTACGTCGTTGTTGATGAAAATGCCAAAATCTCAATTATAATAGAAATTAATAGAAATTATGACACCCGAATAAAAAAAAATACATGAATCAACCCATGACTAAAAAATTCAAAATGGTGTACTCTTATTTTTATTTATTAATTAAAAGACATAAAATTAATTAATTTTAAATTTAGAAAATTATTTTTTTAAAACCTAGAAGACAGAGTCCAAGCCGACAGGCCTCTGCGACGCATGCTCACAGACAAACGAAGCTGAGTAGGAGAGAGAAAGAGAGAGGGGTTTATAGATGTGGTTATTATTATAATTACGTGGCTGTTAATTACTAGTACACTTTTTTTTTTTTTTTTTTTTTTTTTTTTTTTTTTTTTTTTTTTTTTTTTTTTTTTTTTTTTT